TACTGTTAGTTTTGTCCTATCTTAGATTGATTACCTTTTATCACTCCATTACTTCTCTCCTTTTAGATTGGAAATTGTATGATGTGATGGTTAATTTTATATGTCATTTGGCTGTGCTACAGTGCCCAAATATTTAGTCAAACATTATTCTAGATGTTTCTGTGAAAATGTTTATTGGATGAGATCAACATTAAAATTAGTGTACTTTGAGTAAAGCAGATTACCCTCCATTACATGGGTGAGCTTCATCCATTTAGTTGAAGGCCTTAATAAAACAAAGACTGATCTCCCCCGAGCAAGAAGGAATTCTGCCAGTCAACTGATTTTGGACTCAAACTGCAATTCTTCCTTGGGCTTCCAGCTTGTCAGACTACCCTGTAGATTTTGGACTTCCAAGCCCCTCCATAATCACTTGAGCCAATTCCTTAAAATAAGTGTCTTTCTCTCTATCTCTCTCTCTCGCTCTAGCTCTTGCTGTCACTCTACACACACACACACACACACACACACATACACACACATGCTGTTAGTTCTTTTTCTCTGGAGAACCTTGACTAATACACATAGTCTTATATCATTCCTTTAGTGATTTTTGTAGAGATTACAAAATGTATTCTTGACTTAGAGTCTATTATTAATTGTAACTTTTTCCATTTTCCTAGACAATGCAGATTTTAGAACACTGGATTCCTTTTCCCCTCTCCTGACATATATACAGTTGTGTATTTTTAAATACAGAAGACATTACTACTATTGACTTAAATAGTTAATATCAATATTCATGTAGAATTATCCACATATTTATTATTTTGATTGATCTTTATTTCCTGTCTTTTTAAAAAATAAATTTATTTATTTATTTATTTATGGCTGTGTTGGGTCTTCATTGCTGCGTGTGGGCTTTCTCTAGCTGCAGAGAGCATGGCCTTCTTATTGCGGTGGCTTCTCTTGTTGCGGAGCATGGGCTCTAGGCATGCGGGCTTCAGTAGCTGTGGCATGCAGGCTCAGCAGTTGTAGCTCGTGGGCTCTAGAGTGCAGGCTCAGTAGTTGTGGCTCACGGGCTCTTGAGCACAGGCTCAGTAGTTGTGGTGCATGGGCTTAGTTACTCCACGACATGTGGGATCTTCCCAGACTAGGGCTCGAATCTGTGTCCCCTGCATTGGCAGGCAGATTCTTAACCACTGCATAACCAGGGAAGCCCTCCTCATGTATCTCTGATTTAACAATTAGGATAATTTCCTTCTGCTTAAAGAATGCCACTATCAATCTGCTGGTGACAAATACTCTATTTTGAAAATTTTACCTTCATTTTTAAAATATTTTAGAAATATTTAGTCCTTTGAAGTTATCATTCTATCATTTTCTGGCTTAAGATAGTTCTGTTATAAAGTAAGTTGTGGGACTTCCCTGGTGGTCCAGTGGTTAAGACTCCACACTCCCAAAGCAGGGGGCCCAAGTTCAATCTCTGGTCAGGGAACTAGAGCCCGCATGCTGCAACTAAAAGATCCTGCATGCCGCAACAAAGATCCTGCATGCCGCACCAAAGATCCTGCATGCTGCAATGAGTATCCCACAACTAAGACTCAGCACAACCAAATAAATAAATAAATAAATATTTTTAAAAAAATTAGTTGTCAGTCTAATTTTTGTTTCTTTAAAGATCAATTCTTATTTTCTCTAGCTGCTCTTAAGATTTTTCTTTGTCTTTGGATTTTAGCAGTTTTTTCATAATGTGTTTATGTGTCAATTGTGTTGATTGAAAAATTTTTTTTATCCTGCTAGGGATTCATTCATTCAAATATTATTTCTGCCCAATACTGTCTTTTCTTTCCTTCTGGAATTCCATTCACGTGCATATTAAACTTTATCACTGTATCTTCTACATACTTTCCCTGTGTTCTGTATTTTCCATCCTTTTTATTCTTTATGCTTCATTATGAGTATTTTTTTCTGACTTATCTTCTAGTTCCCTAACTTTATATCTGTGTCTAATATGTTATTATACCCATCACTGAGTTATTTTCAGTTAGTGAACTTTTTGGTTCTAAAATTTTCATCTGATTCTTTTTTCAAGTTTCTAGTTATCTGCCTAAATTATTAATCTTGTGTTTTATTTATTTATATATAGTAAGCATTGTTATTTTTAAATCTGTTTGATAATTTCACTCTCTGAACTCCTTTTGGGTCTGTTTTTGTTCTCTGTTGTTTCTGCTGATTTTTTTTCCTTGTATGACTTACTTTTAATTGTACACTAGACTTTGTATTTGCAAAATTATTAGTAGAAATGACTTCAGGCCTAGCATGATATTACTTTACTCCAGGAAGGATTTTAGTTTGCCTCCACCAAAGTCTTGTGGGTATTAGCTCAAGGAATTATCCTAATCCACTCTCAGGGTTGAGATGTTTTGAAAATGAGATGTCACCCATTTACTTCTAGGATGTAGCCATTTGGATTCCTACTACAAAGCAAGGGAGTTTCAACAGAGCTCTCCTCCTGCCTCCTTAGCACACCCTGAATTCCAATCATTGTCCCTCATCCCTGCTCATCCTCCCAGCAACCTTCTATGGAATGGATAAATGGATGTCCCTGGGCCTCCATCATTCCTCAGATCCATGGCCTGGTAATTCCTATCTTATTAACTCTCTGATGCCTTTGAATTGATTTTTTAATATTTTGTTGAGTTTTTCTAGTCTCCTCAATAGGAGGATTGGTCCAAATTAATCCCAATACCAGGGCTTATACAAATGTAGCTATGATTAAACATAGGTAGTTGTTTTTAAGAAGGACTTTGAAAACAATCCTTAAAGGAAAAAAGAATTAACTTTCATTCACAATCTTTTGAGTCCAAGTGGCATCTCAGTATTTAGGAATGTTGCATCCGAGTTCTGATATCATGTGAGGAAAGTTACTTCTTTTATTGACAAATACTATTGAACATCATCTTTGTTCTGAAAGCTATTCTAAGAAATTACATTATAAGGATGAAAAAGACATGATCACTGACCTCAAGGGGCTTGAAGTCTAGATTCCGTGTTGGTAAACTGGTTACTTTTGGACGCATCAATTCATGATCAAACAGTCTTTTGTTAAATACACATGATACAATGATAAATACATTTAAAATTTAAACATGTATATTTGAGTTCCTATCACTTTTCAACCTAAACATGAGGGCATTTTAAACAATATATTTTCTAATGCATTTGTCTTCTAGTAAAGTTTACTAATGAGTACGTTCTTTTAAAGTATTTTGGAGAAAGAAGAATACAAGCTTTGGGACTTCCCTGGTGGTGCAGTGGTTAAGAATCCACCTGCCAATGCAGGGCACACAGGTTCCAGCCCTGGTCCGGGAAGATCCCACATGATGTGGAGCGACTAAGCCCGTGTGCCACAACTACTGAGCCTGTGCTCTAGAGCCCGTGAGCCACAACTACTGAGCCTTCATGCCTCAACTATTGAAGCCCACGTGCCTAGAGCCCGTGCTTGGCAAAAAGAGAAGCCACCGCAATGAGAAGCCCACACACCACAACGAAGAGTAGCCCTCACTCGCCACACCTAGAGAAAGCCCGTGCGCAGCAACAAAGACCCAACGCAGCCAAAAACAAATAATAAATAAATTTATTTAAAAAAAAAAAAAGAATACAAGCTTTGCAGGAGATCTTAAACGCCAGGATCCTTTTTTTCCTAAAGAGTTAGGCTCTGGTTTCCTAGACTTTTTACTCTTGTAAACTCCTGGGAAAAAGCTACTCACTCTGAAACATTATTATTTTTAATCAGAGCTTTTCCTTGGTAGACATTCAAAGCCCTCTAAAATAGCCTCTAAGTATAAAAGTGTCCCTGGACTCTGAACTGTGTGACAGATTTCCTAAGAGACCTGAGCCTTACCCGCAGAGATTATTTAAATGTGCCAGCCTCTCTGGGGTGAATCAGTCAGTAGAGAGGACCAGCAGAGAAAGCTTAGTGGATGCGGATGCAGTAGGTTCATTATTTGACCATGGACAAGTTATATCACTTTTCTGGATTTGTTTTCCCATCCATGATAGATTGGGCTCCTAGATGATATATCTCTAAAGTATATATAACTTCCAGTTCTCAAATTCTGCAATTCTTCTGGAATTGAGGAGGATTGTTTTGTCACCTGAGTTTAAAATAGATTAGAAGGAAAAACAGAAACTAAAGTTCCATATATCAAGTAAGACACTAGTGCAATAATCTATAAGGAGATGAAGACCTATGTTAGTGGCCACCATGACAATGACCAGCAGAGATAAAACAAGACTGAGGTCTGAGGAGACTGTCGCTCTCCAGAAGCCACCTTCTCTCAAACTTTCTTCCTTCTTACCTCTTCTCCCTTTCTGCTACACTGTTCCTCTAGAAACTTCCTTGACTTTGTCCACATGAGGGGGTAACAGTGATTGAGCTTAAGGGAGAAAGTGAAGCAACTCTTGCTTCAAATGAAGCAACTGTTGCTTCAACTGAAGCACATTGTACATTTGCCTTGTGGTCTCTTACTCTGAATGCAGCTACGAGGCCCTCCAGGACAGTGTAATGAAAAACAAATGGAACTAGTAGATGACTGGACAAATCGTATAAACAGTGTTTTCATCTGTGGAATGAGGGGATGAAACTTCCATTTTTGGTATTATATATTGTGATTCCTATAATTGTTCTGTATCTCTGTCACCCCCACAGCTTGACTTGTTTAGTTGTCAGTAGGCAGCTTGTTTCATATTCTGCCCACTTTATACTTAGAGACTGGCACATATACAGTTAACATTCATTTTTCAGGAAGGAAATGAACTTCTGTTAGTACCTACTATGCCTCAGTCACCGTCCAGGTCTCTTTCATATACCCTTTTAAAAAAAAAATCCATTCAACACATTTGTGAGATAGGTATCACTACTCTAGTTTTTGAAGATGTAGATATAGGAATTCAGAGATTTAATTATCAGGATCAAAATGATAGCAGTAAAATGGAGGCTTAGTTTTGTCACTTACCCTCTATTTGACACGTTATTTTTCTATGCCTCAGTTTCCTTATCTGTAAAGTTGGAATTAGTAACAGTTAGGATAGGGTTGGCAGATTTAGCAAAAAAAAAAAAAAAAAACAAAATAAACTAGGAAGTATTTCCCAAATGGTACATTCTTATGCTGAAATTCAGATTTAGCTGGGCACACCTGTATTTTATCTGGCAATGCTATTTTAGCACTATGGTTATGACAATGCATGTAAAGAATTTAGCCCAACCCGTATCACTTAGTGAGCGCCCAGTAAATGCTTATTAAATTTTGGATCTGATTCCTGTCTTTTTTTTTTTTTTTTTTTTACCTCAGACACGTTGAGCTTAGTTTCCACACAAAATTTCAGTCAAGCGAGGGTGATACTACTTTAAGTTTCTATTAGTTCTTTATCGTTCCTAAAGCTCTTTCAAAGCTTGGCCAATGCCGGAAAGCTCCTGAGGAAACCCACAGAAGCTCGGACTTTTGAGGGCCGTCGCTGCAGTCCCAGCACAGCCTCCGCAGACGGACCAGCCGGGCGGCCACCCGTCGCTCCGCCCAGCCGCGACCCGCCTCCGCCCCATCTCGGCCACTCAGCGGCCGCGCCGCGCCCCGCCGCATTCCTATAGGTCCTTCGCGGGGCAAGCGAGGCCTTTCCATTTTCCCGCCTTCCCCAGCCCCTCCTCAGCCCGAAACCCGACTGGCCCACAACGTCTCCGCCCTGCTTTCCGTGCGAGCCCCGCCCTTCCGGACACCGCATCCCCCTTCCTCCCACACCCGCCGCCTGGGCAGCCTGCCGGGTCCCAGTCCTGGCCCCCCGGTAGGAGGTGGGAGGGGACAGGGAGGGACGGGAGGAGCCCCCCTCCCAAGGGGTCGCTGGAGGCGGGGACCGGAGGGAGGGGCGGGGCTCATCTCCTTGGCGCCGCGTTGCCATGGCAGCGGGGGAGGGCGGAGGGAGGGGAGGAAGAGAGCCGGAGGGGGATGTGGTACTGCCGCGGCCGCCACCGCAGCTGCCGCTGCCTGCTCGTTGCCGCGTCTTCCCGGAGGCGGCTACTGGAAGCCGCCGGGAGCAGCTGCGGTGCTCTGCCATATTGTGTCTTCCCCTGCTCGTTCTTCACCCCTCCGCTGCGGCGGCCGAGCTGACGGTGAGTCCCGGGAGGAGCGGCGCCCTCCTCAGCAGGCGCCGCCCGGCGTCCGCGCTCCGGGCAGAGAGTGCGGCGGCCGCCGGGCGTGGGGCGCGGAGGCGGCTGTCCCGTGACGGGCCCGGACATTTTTGTCCCGTGAGGGATTGGCGCTGGCGCGGGGGTCTCCCCTGCGCGCGCCTTGGGTGGCGTGTGGGCTCCCGGGGAGGTGGCGAACTGAGGGTAGTGCGGCCCCGTGAGGAGTTAGGAGTTTTTCCTGAGGGGTGTAATGACCGCCCGGGAGGGGGTGTCGCGCGGCGGAAACCGCGGCGAGGGGTGCCGGCTCTTCAGAAAGGCTTGGAGGTGGCCCCGAGGACGCTTAGGGTTCGACTCGGGACGAATCTGCTGTTGGGGGAAGCGCCCCAAACCCGTCGGGAGTCTTTGCAGCACAGACGCACCCCCTCCCCCCGCCCCCGGCATAAAGTGCAGCAAGACGTGCGGGGCGTGGAGCCCTCGCCCGGCCCCGGGCGGACTGGCTGGGCCCGGCCAAATAGTGCCCGGGGAGGCTCCGGGCGCGGCCGGCAGTGAACTTCGAGCAGCGGGGCGGCTGGGCGTTGGGGGTGGGCAGGGGCGGGTCCCGGATGTGGGGGTGGCCGACCCAGGCACCCTCTGGCCCCTCCTCCAGCGGGCGCCCGGGGGGCCTCCGAGGGTTGCTGTCTTGGTGGGATGGGAGTTAGTGTTTCAGCGCTGCAATATGGACACTTCCTGTTCGCCGCTTCTCTTGGGCCCTTGGTTATCTGTGCCCTTACCGGGAAGGTGAGAGGTCGTGTGGGCTCTTCAGCCTTCAGCCTTCTGAGTTCGCCCCATCGCAACAGCAGCGAGGCTGGAACCCGGGAGGACGGTGGGAGTCCGGGGAAAGCGGCCCATGTGCGTAGTGCTCCGTCTTACTCAACTCCACCCCATTGCCCCTTTGCAGAGTGCCTCTGTTCCCATCGCAGCTCACGGGAGTTGGCGTGTCTTAATAAACTGGGGGCACACTCTCGGGATCTTCCTGGACCTGATTTCTGTTTTAAAGCCTCTTTAAAGCCGCCTCTGTACTTGGTTTTCTCCTTACAGAAAAAAGTCTTAGCGTGCAAAGAAATGACGCATACTTTATTTCTTCTACCCCAACTCCGAGGTTGTGGGAGGAGGTTATTATTTTCAGGTTAGTTTACGCTGTTAATCTTGTCTTCTGATTGTGACAGCCACGTGGCCGGTTGAGTGTAACTGAGCGCCCTAGCGCAGCCAGGGCTGAGGCTTCACTGGTAGCCAGGGGGCTTTGTAACCATGCAGTAGCTTTGCATCCACATGTATTTTGGTGTTTTCTGAGATGGAAGTGGAAAAAGCTGAACCGTTCATGTCTATCTCTGTACCAACCGAATGGAAGACTTTGTTTTCTAGCAGTCCTTGTAATGTATATATTGACATTTTTGCTTTCTGCTGTTTTGATGATTTATCTTTAAAATCTAAGCAGCAGTGTTAGGTACCATTAAGGAGTGATGGGGAATAGAAGAGTACATTACGGAGTTTCTCAACTTTGGGAAAAAACCGTTTGAATTTCAGAGTCGTTAATGAAAGTTTTTAATGTAATCAGAAATAATCACATTCTGCAGGATTTCTGCAGAATAGTTTCATAAAAATCTCAGTTTTTCTCTTTTTACATAAAAATTGTGATCTGAAAAGATATAAATATATTACAAGTGAAAATACTTGTTTAGGGATAAAATAAATACTTGTTTGATTTGTGCATGGGCACTTTCTTAAGCTTTTTTAAGGAAAAGTATTAACAGTTTATATAAATGTTAACATCAACAGATATTAAGGGAATGAAATTAAAGTTTTAGAATATATAAAAGTAAAAGGTCAAGGGCTGAAGAGCAAAAAATTAATAAGTAAAATAAATAAAATGAAATGATTTTAAATAAATTATTCTAAAGTAAGGTAAAAAACAGGTTGAAGATAAACTTTTGGAGAGTTTGGAATTTATAGAATTTAAGAATTACATACAATCCTTGGTTACTAGTGCATCGTGTTTCATTTTGTAAATGTTTTGGTGAATTTGAATTATTTCTGTAACATGTTTTTATTTGAATCAGTTTTACTTGAAGAATGCTAAACCACAGAAAACACTTAGAATGTTTAAAAGAACTGTGTGGAGAAGTTACAGTAGTACCATTAGAATTTTAATTCTCATTCTAATTCAGTGAAGCTAATAGTTAAAAAGATTGGAGAGGCTTAGGTGCGGAAAAGATAATGCAATTGAGAAATGAACATGTGTGCTGACCACTGAGAGCAGTGCATAGTTGAGAAAGAAAACTAAATGAGGTGAAGAAATACTTATATAAAGCAGGAAGCACTGAAAACATATGCTGGGAGATAGCTACATTATTAGTTATGGAATCCGGCTATCAAATAAAACTTTAAAAAGTGCCATCCAAACAAGGATTAATCTTGTTCTTATGGCAGCTTATATGTGTGTGCCTTGCTTTTAGATTGTTGTCATTTTAGTAAGTGGGTTTTGCATAAATGTAAAAAGGTCCTCCAAAAACAAAGTTTTGAGGGCCCAATTCTTTGCTGATTTTTTTTTTTTTTTTAATTTTTAATTTTTGGCTGTGTGAGGTCTTCGTTGCAGCCCGCAGGCTTCTCTCTAGTTGTGGTGTTCGGGTTTTCTCTCTCTAGTTGTGACACACTGGCTTAGTTACCCCACGGCATGTGGGATCTTAGTTCCCTGACCAGGGATCAAACCTGGGTCCCCTGCATTGGAAGGCGGATTCTTTACCACTGGACCACCAGGGAAGTCCCTTTGCTGACTTCTTAGGGAAGAAAAAGTGTTCTAATATTTGATCCCTATTCTTGGGTTGAAGAGACATGATTAATATATGTGAAAAAAAGTTTACAATGTGAGATGATATAGATAAGGGAGGCTTCTTGAAGAAAGTAAGGCTTTTGTTTTCAAAAGTCTAACCTTCATGTTACTCCCATTAGATTAATTTTCCTAAAGGTTATATCACTTTAACAACCAAAACACCTTATATCAAGCATAATACCAAATTTCTTCTCAAGATTTTTCAAACTTTGGTCCCAGTCTTCTCCCTTCTTATCTTCCACTGACGTACAGGAACTGTTCATTATTCACTACTTCAACATGGTATAACAATTTACTACTTTTTACGTTTGCTGATACAACATTTTTCTGTTGGAAATGCACCTGCACACATCCTCTTAACTGTTGAAGATCTTCTCAAACTTGAGGCTTGGTTAAAATCTTGATTGCCCTGCTAGCCTTAGAATCATAGAATTTTAGACCTGTCTTCCACCTCTCCAACTGAAATTCTTTTCTCTAATAGCATATTATTCTGTTGGGTTGTAGCATTCTATACTGCCTTGTTTTTATTTAATAAATATTTTTTGAGCACCTACCATGTGCCAGGCACTGTTACAGTAACTGAGGCTACAGCCTTGAATAAGACAAATTCCCATATTCTTTGTTATCTTTTTAGGTTTTATCACCCCAAGAAAATTATAGTCTTTGACCACCCAGAGGAGTCTTTTCCCCCCACCTCAGGTATATGTTATATGCTTAGTGAGTATTTGATTATTTTCTGAGTAAAGGAAAGGCAGCACTTATGAGGTAGAGAGATGGATGGAAAGGTCTTTCTTTGTAAGTGAAGGGTACAAAGGAATAACCAATTATGGATGGGCTTGAAAACATCACTTTTGAATTTAAGCATAGTTTAATGCCAAAAACAAATGGCATTTAAGCTTGGGCATGATAGGATAAAATCCTTATTTGAGGAAGGTTCATTTGACAGCAGCGTGCAGGACTAATTATTGACTATGGGAAGGAAAGAGATCTATTAAAGGACAAATTAGTAACTTTGAGAAGGAGGTTTGGAAGGGGAGCATAGTCAAGAAGACAGTGAGTTTAGTTGGAGTGTTCGGTGAGTGGGAGATATCAAGGTGAATATAACCTTTAATGACTAGAGATTAGAGCTGTGAGATAATCCATTCAATATAGAGGTGACAGCTAATGTTACAATTTTTTGTTATAGAGTTAGTAATTGAAGTGTTGAGGCCTAAGAATGATGCTTTGGGAAACAAGAATAAGGGGCATCTGCTTTGGTCATATGTGACTTCATAATTAATACTGTAGACTTGTTCAGTAACTTAATTTCCACTCTATGAGAGTGCTACCAAATATATAGGAACCAAAAGAATGTTTATCATCATTCACTTCCAAAGGATTTTGATTCATATATTTCTTATTCCCCTTACCCTAACTTTTTAAATTTAAACATTTAATTTTAGAATAGTTTTACAGTTACAGAAAAATAGCAAGATAGTACAGTATACCTCACCCAGTTTACCCTATTGTTAACATCTTACATTACAGTGGTACAGTTGTCACAACTAAGGAAACAAAATTGCTACTTTATAACTAAATTACATACTTTATTCAGATTTCATTAGTTTTTCCCTAGTGTCCTTTTTCTGTTCCAGAATTCTAGTTTCTCAAATTTTTCTTATTTCTGAT